AATTCAAAAATACAACATAAAAATATATATTTAAAACATAAAAATATTTTTATTAAAAAATCTATATAAAAGATGTTTAGTGTTTATATATTTCTTTCTCATTTCTCTTTGACAATTATTTTGTTAATTATCGTGAGCAAAAGGTGAAAGAATTTTTAATTATTTTACGATTGATGTATAAATGCTTTATTATTTGTATTAGTTTCAGAAACAATTAATTTGAAAAGTATGTGTTCATTAATTCGAAATACATATATCACTTTTTTTATTATAAATTTGTCAAATTACATATCTTAGAGAATGTCATATCTTATTGATATAGGAATTGAATATTTTTTTTAATTACCGTAACTATTATTTTTAAAGACAAGGCTCGAATATTTACGAGTATACTATTTACAGATTTATTTTCGGCTTATCTATTATGTACAATCGGGAAGTATATTATGTCATGAGTTGTCTCATTTAGTTTATTACTATACAAAATTGTATTTTCATATATTATACATTTGACAATTTACTGTAATGCATCATGTACAGAATCCTATTATACGTTATATGTATAAAATCTATCAACAAGCATATAGATACTAAAAGCAAAAAATTTGACAAAATATTACTGACACATACATATAATAATCAACATATTATAAGGGCTTAATTATTTTCAGGATGGATTTGGCATATTCCCAGGCTTCACTATAACACACAAATTTCATTTTAAAAAGAATTTATATGTCTTACTCAATTTATAAAATAATAAAACGTTTCGTTGATTGCGACGAATATTATTTATACTTACTTATGTGCAGGGTTTGCCTGATCCAATTGTTCGCTAAGTTGTTGAATAAGTGTGGCGAACATTTTAAGGTGTTCAATAGTTTCTCCTTGCAGCCATGCTCTTGGTAGCGTACTCATAATCTAACAAACATTAAAACATTTTATTTGTTGTAACTGAATAAAATTAAAACATTAAAAATATATGTAATATTTTATGATGTAGTATTTATTATTGCGCTTGTCTTAGCATCAAGACACTATCGTATTTCCTGATTATATTTTAATGTTAAATATGATATACCATGTTTGCCTTGAATAAAGCATCAGTTGGACAAGAAACGCGTAACCCAGCGAGCAAATAACGATTTAAAAGCGAACCAAGTGCCAAATTTTTTAACTGTATATCCCCAAGAATACCTTGCCAACTTAATAAATTGCGCAATAATTTAACAGCCATCGCAAATTGTCTTTGGAAGAATTGATGTTTTGTATCCCAAACTCTGAAATGTTAACTTATGTTAGAAGCAACGAAAGAATAATGTAACTATATGCGAGATATCAATTTAATTATATACTGAGTATACTGACTGTTTTGGGAAAATAGGTATGAAAACATCATTTTCAATAGCAGCTTTAATTTTATCTAAAATAGCGTTGAATAAAGTTTCCAACTGTTTACTGGTATCATTCAAATTAGGATATTCCTTTATCAATCGATTTATAGTTCCAACAAGACGTAACGTCTGAGACGTTGACATTGGGTCCCATATCTTTTCAATAATAGCTAAAAATTATTAACATAAAATAGAATTATTTCATTCCTACTTGTAGTTTTATAAATAGCATTATAAAAGATAATCCTTATATCACTCTTACATGTCAATTTTGGTATCACAATTTTTTCAATTGTGGATGGTATTAATCTAACATCTGGATCTCGTTTCAATGATTCTTCTGTCTCTTTACTATCTAAAGCATACAGAAGCAATGTATTATACCACTTTGTCCTTTCTAGATCAGCGCTTTCCTGTAAAAATAATTAGATATTAATTACAAGTATGATTAAGGCCTTTTATTGATGGAAAAAGTGAACAAAATACCATAATCGGATTCCAAGTAAGTAGTTGTAATCTGATAATAGGCGAAATAATTTTAGGTAAACACAACGATACATAAGCTTCTGTGTAGGCATCCATGTCTGTTTCTCTCCATGACTCGAATTTTGAAAGGATACCACGTACTGTACAATATTCTTCCATAACATCAGAAAATATATCTTTACAATTATTATCGATTTCATCTGTAATAAAATAAAAATATTATAATCATAAAATTGTATGTTAAAAACGTAAATATGAAATTATATGAAAAAATCGAAATATAAAGTTGATTATTACCTTTCGCTTGCTTAAATATAAGATTTTGTTGCTCAGTAACTTCATCGTCACTAGACATGCCATCAATGTGCTTTGGAATATTTGATGCTAATTCTCTTGCTCTTCTACGACGTGCTCTTCTACCTTCTCTCTCTGTAGCTCGTCGTACGTGTACTTCTACTTCTGGTCCTCTTCTCATGGCTTGACCTCCTGCAAAACAAAAAAAATTATAGAATTTGTGTTACAAAATATTTCAATAAAATCTCTGGAATATATTATATATATAAGGTTATCAAACGTCCTCAATATACTAAATTTTATCAGTTATATTCTCTACTACCACTAATTGAAAATACTGACTTGCTGTAGTAGTTATTTCTTCTGCCTGATCTCTCGTATCTTGTCGTCTTCGTTCCATCAATTCGACTGAACGTTCACCATATAGATCTAACCAGCGTTGTTCCAAGTCGATGACCAGGGGAAGCTAACAAAAGAATTATACATTTAATGTGATTCAATGAATGTTCTATTATAATAAAACTGATGATGTCTAAACTGAATGGCTTTATGATAACAATGCTTAAAAAACATTAATTTGATAATCGATTTAGTTTCATAAATTACATAGAAAATTCTTCAACGTGATAAATGTTCACACATTAAAAATAAATAGATTAGACATCAATTTACTTACCACAGTCAAATTAATTTATTAATCACTTGTATATGATATTTATCTTTATAAAATGTATCAAAATAGCATAATACAGAGAAGATAATGACCCCCGGCAATGGAAATACGTATATGTGCGACATATATGCATTCTTTCTATTTTACGAATAATCGAACCAGTAAGTTATTACTTTAAAAGATTTTATCTCCCTTTTATTTTATTTATCAAAAGCTCTGGATAAATTAAAAGAGAAATATTGTTCCAGCTTTTTAAGTAATATATCTTGAATATTTTGCAATTTAAAGCTTCTGGACTTTCGTTATTATTGACATCATATCAAATATAATTTTAAATCATATAATTTCTTTTCTTTCACTGTATGTATTTCACATTCATAAAATGAAACATTATAATAAAAGTATGATAATTTGATCAGTATGTTAAATGATTCAATTATTTACAATATATATAATTTATAATCAGAAACTTAAACCTCAGATATCAAAATTTAAAACAAGATTTATTAAAGTCGTTGGTACTTTACTGGGACTGAAGAATTTTTGTCAGCCATATACTGTACGATAAAACCCAGTGCACATAAATCAAACGTGACAGCGTATCAACCCACCTTCTCATCAAGACACTCTACCAAGTCAGTGACATACCCACGCAACTCTTGGTAATATCTGAAGCGCTGTGCATAATGCGGCGTACGAACTTCACTTTCGTCCAATTCTTTTATGGTTTGTTGTAATTCTCCTTCTAAACGCTCCTGATCTTGCTGATGCCGTCTATGCACCTCTTTCAAATTGTCCAACCTTTAAATTATAACATTTAATTAATTAGCATTAATTAGCTTTCATTAATTTTTCTATTGTATAAAAAGCCCGAAACATGTTTGGAGAAATATGGAACCTTGTGCGCATCCTGTTTACAACTTCTTGTGGAGTAACAGGTACGATTTTTGTTGGATCTGGTGGTTGAATAGATGGTGGCGGTGGAGGTGCAGGCATTAATACCATTTCTAAAGGTACACCAGATCCAATTATCTGATTAACATTCATGCCCATTGTATATTGTTGTTGCAACATAGAATCTTGCTGTGCTGCTGCAATCTGCATGTAAAAATATTCCAGATATTTAACATTACTTTATACATATTTTTTTATCCTAAATCTCATGGTATATTAATAAATTTTACCTGAGCACCGGTTACACCTTTTCGTATTTGTTGAGCTTCCCACTCTTCTTCTTCGTTTTCATGTTCACTTTCATTATCTGAAACTAAATTAAAAAATGTGTTCAAAATTGTATTATCTTTTATTATTAAATATCTTAGAATTTTTTATTAGATATACGCTACACTTAAAGTTAATTATTATATGTAAAAACTCACATTTTAATGGAACTTGAGAAGCAAGAAATGCTTCTCTCCTCTTTTCTTTATCACGTGCTTCAGTGTTGACAGTCATATCTAGTCGATCTTGAGAATCATCATCGTCACTTCGATCATGATCTTCCTCTCGTATTAATCTTGATTTGCCCTTGTCATCGCTACAAAAATAAATTTATTGTAATATCATTACAATAATTATATTAATATTATATTAATTAATTATTATAAAAATTTACGAGTCATCAATTATATAATCTTAAGAATGAATTGTGCTACCTCTGCTCTTCAATAGGAATGTAATCGGTTCCCAATTCTCTTGCTTTCTGTCTGCGTTTTCTCGCTGCATGAATCATAGCTGCATCAGGTATACATCCACCTGGTTAATATCAAAAGAATGTTGTAAAACATAATTAAAAAATATATAATTTTTAAATGTTAATAAATTTTATAATATATATTTTGCAATGCTGCTTAGATATAATAACAAAATTTAATACTTTATTTTTCATTTGTTTTGTCAAAGAATTCAATTATTAAATGTATACACAGCAATTTTATTAATTATATGAATTCTAGTAATGATTTAACAACATCATAATTTATATGTATCATCTGAATTACGTACTCTCAAGAAGTATTTTTACAGTTTCAGCTTTATCTGTATTTTTCCTAAATTTGTGACTGCAAGGTTCATCTTCCTCCTCACCCGATGTATAGTCATCTTTTCCTGCTGCCAATGCAGCTCGTCCGTTTAAAATCAGGGGTCCTGTGTTTTTTATTTTAACCTAGCAATAAAGATTATATTTTGTTTAGTAAAGATACACAATTTCAAAAAAATTCAAAATTTTTACGAATAGGATATTCATAAATTTTGGAATATAATATTTCGAAATTAAAATATCCGAGTATATTTCTATTAATTCAATAAAATAACAAAGATACAAATATATTCATTAAGAATCATTAAGTTGTAATAGAAAGCTTACAAATTGATTTGAGCATGTATACACTAAAGAGAAATAATAAACTATTAAGATTTTAAATAAGTTAGAACACAATCTTTACATATTTATAATTTAAGCATTATTCATTCTTTGGCACAAATAACTGATAAAATAAAAATCATTAGACAAAGTAATATTTCACTAAATATATAAATATATATTTATGTGATCAAATTTAACAATTAAAAAAACATTTTTATGTAAACTACTTGATATATATAAAGTATACACAAGTAAATTATTATTATATAAGAAATGACATTTAAATAATCTCCTTGAGCTGTACTCCCACAGTTGTTCCAAATCTTGAAACATTAGTCAATGTATCAGGGAGAGACATAAAAAATCCTCTATGTTAAATGATAAATTACTTAAATTGAAGAAATGCTAATAATAATAAAACATCATAGAGATAGCTTACTACTAGATCATCTGTCTTTATTTCTAAATCTTTTTCCTGCTTAATGGATTTATTCGCTTGCTCAGTGTCCACTTGCATTTTCTCTTCACCTTTCTTTTTTCTCCTTTCGTGATCTAGCTGTTTCATCAGCTTTTTGCTCCTCGAAGATTTCTTGACTATAAAAACTTCTCCGTCGTCCCCTGTAATTTATTTCAAAGTTTAATTTAAATCTAAATATGCAATATATTTTTCAATACTTGGTAATAGATTTGGAAGAAACAGCATCTGTTAGTGTAAATATTTGTCTAAAATAAAACTGTATTGATATTAAAGAGATCCTGCTTGATTGTCCCTGTAAAGGCTTGTTCTACGAGCAAGTAGCATCACATTATCGTTCAAATTGTGAATGCTTTCTAGCAACGAATAGATGAACATAGTGTGAACACAATAAATCATTACATCTTTAAGTCTATTTTTTTTTTTCCATATCCTAGAACTGAATTATCTTTTGTCTTTTATGAAAAGAAAAAGAAGATGAACCAAGAAGTTGCAAGAAGTTCAGTTCTAAGATTAAAAGAATAACAGGTCTTTTGTTATTTGCCAATGTTAAACAAAGGTGAAATGACTATTCATTGTAGGTTTGTTCACATTACATACTCCTATTGATTCTAACGAATATATTGGAATAAGTAGAAGAACAGGAACATACTGGAGCAAGTTGAGATCTGTGACGCAAACAAACCTTGTGTTACATTAAGTCTATTTTCTATAGTTGAACTATATACTTTTGAAACTTAAAATAAAATAGGTATATATATATATA